CCCCCCCCCGACCCTGAGGAGCTGCAGGGATGGACGTGGGGACGATTCGGGGTTGCGGGGACGGACCCAGGACCTGCAGTGAGACCCCGAAGCTGCCGGGGGAGATCCGGGATGACCGTGGGGGACAACTCGGAGCCTTACGGGGATGAGGTGCCCGTCCTCCGTCTGCCGGGTCCACCGGGGCGGCCGTTGTGGCCTTACAGAGGCACCGGGACCGCCCGGCCGCCCCGCTGCCTTGTAGGGACACCGGGACCCCCTCGTGTCCCAGGTACGGCCCAGAGCCTTATGTGGGGATGTGGGGCCTTATGGGGCGTTTTGGGGCTGTCCCGGAGCCCCTCGGTGGGGACACGGGGAAATCGTCCTCTGCCCTGTGGGGACGTCCTCGGGGCCGCCCTCGCTCCCTCCGGGGCTGTCCTGTGGCCTTATGGGGACGTGGGGAGATTCCCCCCCCCCTTTCCCCTGGGGGTTCCCGTGCCCTCCCCGGGTCGTGAGGCTGCCGGCCCATCTCCGGGGGGTTACCGGGGGGCCGCCCCCGCCCCTCACTCAGGAAGGGTCCTGCAGGGGGGGATGGCGGGGAGCTCGGCAGCGGCCGGGGCCGTCCCCTCCCTCCACCCACCCCCGGGGAAGAGAGGGGGGGGGTGAGGCGTCGCTCCCTTTGACCTGCTGAACTCCCCCTCCCCCACCCAGGGCTGTGGTGCAGCTGGGGGGGTGCGTGGGGGTGGGGGAGGGTGCTGACTTCATCCTCGGGGGGCACCCATGGGTGCTGCTGCCCCGGGGGGGTTGAGGGGGGGGAGGGAAAGGGGCTGTAGAGGGGCAGCACCGCCGCGCACACCCCCTTCAGCGCCAACTGTAGATTTTCCAGGTTCTAGATTAAAACCTTTCCAGAAAGAGCCGTCGGTTCGACCCGGCGTCCGCAGTGACCCCCGGCGCGCCGCTCGCGTCTCTCTACTAAAATACCTTTATTGCAAACGCGGCCGCAGCCCCCCCATTCCTCCCCCTCCTCCCCTCCCAGTGGCGTCCGTCTGCTGGGAGCCGCAGTCCTCCAAGTCGGCAGGCGGCGCTCGACTGAAGAGCGCAGCCTCCGGAAGCGGATCGTCCCGCGAGAGGGGGCGTGGCCGGGCTCAAAGGGGCGGGGCGCGACCCGGCCGCACCAAAGGGGGCGGGGCGTGACGCGGCGGAAGCGCGCGGCCGGGCTGCAGGGGGGGCGGGGGGCGGGGCAGCCCCGAGGGGGGCGGCGGCACCGGGCCGGCAGGCAGAGCGGGGCGCAGCGGCGGAGGGGGGGGTTGCGGGGGGGACGCGGGGACGCGCGGGGCCGTCACGGCCGTGATCCGCACCTCCTCCTCCTCTTCCTCCGCGTCCTCCTCCTCCTCTTCCTCCTCCGGGGGGGCGGCGCCGCCGCCGCCGCCGCGCTCCGCCTCCCATTCCCGCAGCGCTCGGTCCAAACCGAAGCGACGCCGTGCGCTGCCCACGAAGCCCCGCACCTGGGCGGCGGTTTTGGTGCCCAGCAGCGCCGCCACCGCCGGGAAGTCGCGGCCGTAACGGCGCAGCGCTGTGAAAGACCGCGCTGTCAGCACGGCACCCACGTGGCCGTAACCCCCCCCCCCCGCGCTGCCGGTCACCCCTCGCTCTGTGCTCTCACCCTGCACGGCCAGCAGCTGCTCCTCCGTGGTCCACCGGGAGCTGAACTTGGCGGGGGTCTGCGGGGAGGGGAGGGGGGAAGAGAGTGGGGGGTGGGGGGGTTGCACAGCGCTGTGTGATACAGGGGGATATCGGGACATGGGGGGACATCGGGACACGGGGGGTGTGTGGGGTCATGGGGGGACACAGCAGCATCCAGTGGCACACGGTGTAATGGGACACAGTGGGACATAATGGGATGCAATGGGACAAAGCGGGACATGATGGGACACGATGGGTCACAAAGGGACATAGAGGGGCATGATGGGACACAGTGGGAATAATCAGACACAGTGGGACACGATGGGACACAGAGGGATGCAATGGGACACAGAGATGCAATGGGACACAGAGGGACACAGAAGGATGCAATGGGACATGGACACAGAGGGACACGGTGGGACACAGGGGGATGAAATGGGACATGATGTGACACAGAGGGACACAGAGGGATGCAATGGGACACAGAGGGACACAATGGGACACAATGGGACACAGTGGGATTCAGAGGGATGCAATGGGACACAATGGGACACAGAGGGATTCAGTGGGACACTGGGACACAGAGGGACGTGATGGGACACAGAGGGATACAATGGGACATGATGGGACACAATGGGACACAGAGGGATGCAATGGGATACGATGGGACACAGAGGGACGCAATGGGATACGATGGGACACAGAGGAACATAAAGGGACATGATGGGACACAGAAGGATGCAATGGGACACAGAGGGATACAGGGATGCAATGGGACACAGAGGGACTCAGAGGGATGCAATGGGACACAGAGGGATACAGGGATGCAATGGGACACAATGGGACTCAGAGGGATGCAATGGGATACAATGGGACACAGAGGGACATGATGGGACACAGAGGGACACAGTGGGGTGACACGGAAGACCCACAGACCCCCACCCACCTCTGGGGGCCGCAGCCCCTCCACGCCGCCCTCCAGCGCCTGCCGCAGCCCGCAGCTCAGCTGCTTGATGCGCTG